CGTGCCTTTCCACGCACGCTGACCACATGTGGGTTAGCCACCCAAAACTCAACATGAACTCATGAATGGAAAATGAATTTGCTCCAGAAGCTTTGACCCAAACCACCCTGAAAGATAGGAAAGTGCAGGTCTGTCTAAATAAGGTAGGCTGGATGAACAATCTGGAGGAGAAAACAACGGGACTGACAGTTCGAGGGGGGAGGGGGGGAGAATGGTGTTAACAAACCCAGGGACAAGGGAACAACAAGCGATCCAAATCAGTGGTGAGGAGGGTGTAGGAAGCCTGGTAGGGCATGATCAAGGGTAATGTAACTGAGAGGAATTACTGAAACCCAAATGAAGGCTGAACATAATAGTGGGACAAGAGGAAAGTAAAAGGAAATAGAGGAAAGAGCTAGGAGGCAAAGAGCATTTATAGAGGTCTAAATAAATACATGTACATATGCAAATATATTTATATATGAGGATGGGGAAATAGATTTATGTGCATATATTTATAGGTTTAGTATTAAGGTAGCAGATGGATATCGGGCCTCCACTCAAGTACTCCCTCAATGCAAGAATACTTTGTTCTATTAAACTGGCATTCCATGGTGCATAAACAAATGTGGTGAAGAAAGCTGATGGATCCCGGCTATCAAAAGATATAGCGTCTGGGGTCTTAAAGACTTGAAGGTAAACAAGCAGCCATTTAGCTCAGAAGCAACAAAGCCCATATGGAAGAAGCACACAAGCTTGTGTGATCACGAGGTGCTAAAGGGATCAGTTATCAGGCATCAAAGAACAAAAAATCATATAATTGTGTGCTCGATTCTGTCTCACAGTGACCCCATCGGATGGAGGCAGCAGCCCCACCCCAAACTCAGACACTTGGCCGTCAAGTCGGTTCCAACTCACAGCGACCCTCGCAGACAAAGCAGACTGCCACCGTGGGTTCCTGAGGCTTTAAATCTTGTAGAATAGAAAGCCTCGTTTTCCCTCCGTGGCACGTAGGTTTGAACCGCTGACTTTGTGGTTGGCTAGCAGTCCAATGTTTAACCCCCTGAGCCACCAGGGCGCCTATTGGACGGCGCCATAGTTTCTAAAGGCTGTAACTCTTTGATGGAAGTAGAGCTGCCATGCCTTCCTCCGGCAGAGCAGCTGGTGGGGTCGAATGCCCACCATTTGGTCAGCAGGTAATACAAACGTGCCTTGTTTTCACAGCCTGCCCGTGTCCTTGCATACATCTGTACTCACTCCTGCTTATTTTAGAAGGTTTCCTTTTTAGTGAGTGGTCACACCTCATGAAATAACAACGGGGCAAAGGCCTGGCCTGGCGTATGTCAGAAATCTAAAATGAGATCGTCCCCCACCCTCCGTAGTCCTTGGGCGGAAGAGCTGAAATGGAATGTGCCTCTTGGTCACCGCTGTCCTGTGTTCTCCAAACCAAGTGACCTGCTGGCCAGGCCGTTTGCCGAGGCCTTACTCCTGCCTCTAGGCCAGTGTCCGTCACGGCGAGCATCAGAAACGTGGGCTCCTGTCCTGCAGTGCTCACCACCCCAGCACCTCTGAGGATAATCTCGGGTAGACCAGGGCAGAGACCCCGTGGTGGCGCCATGATTCCAAGGCAGAGAGCAAAAGCTCCTCTCGTGAGCAGGAGGGAGGCTGCCCCCATGGGCAATTAACTTTCATGGGATGTTTCAGCTACTCTAGTGGGAAACAAAAATGGAACTGAGCTGGAAAAGGTGAGTCCTATATTTATTTTACACTTTTTAAGCATTTATTTACTCCACTTGAGTGGAGTCCAGCCAGTGGCCAAGAGCGGGGCTGCTGCCTGAAAAGGCACCGGGAGAGATGAGGCTGTGGGTTTCCGTAAAGATCTCCAGCCCCGGAAGCCCCGGAGGGCAGCACTACCCTGTCCTAGAGGGAGGGCCGTGGGAAGTGGAATGTGCTCGCTGCCAGTGGGTTTGGGTTTTTAATTTTCATTTGTACTGGACTATTTTACTCTTGGAATAAGCCATGAAAAGCACAACATTCTTCATAAATCAAGCATTTGCCAAGTGAAATAACTACATCTGATTGAGTTTAAGGATTTTGGTCCCACATAGATATCTGCCCAGCCCTTTAATTCCTTAAAGTTTCCCTGTAGGTCGGAGTGATTAATTTTTAAGTGTTCCCCACTCTGCCTGTGACTCCGTGGCCCTTGGACCCAGGCACTAGGGAAGACTGTGGTTTGATATCAGTCCGTCTGTGCTGGGACCCGGTCAGCCTCAGACCTGGGCCTCAGTAGCCGCTCCTCCGCATTTCAGGGACGGTGTGGTCTAGTTACAAGACGGGGGAGAGGCTCCCGGCCACTCGCTTGCCCCCCTCCCACCACACACCCACTCAGCTGGGAGGCCAGGTTTCCCTGCCTGACAGTACCAGCAGTACCTCTTTCCTGGGCAGCGGGAAGGGGCCCACTTGTCTTTTTTTCTGGTACTGTCTTTTTTCTCGGCTTCTCCGCTCCACGTAGTGTGTCCCCACCTCTGCTTGGGGGTGGGATTCTCTTCTCCATGCAGAGCCAGGGTCTCCAGTAGTGTTAGTCACAGCCTCCTATAGCCTCCTAATTAGAACCCAAGCAATTATAAAAACAACTGCACAACGGATACTCAGGACATATTAAAAATATTTACCTTCTTCAAAGGTAAATGTTTCCTCACCACTAAAAATAATTGCGTGTACATACGATTCTCCATTTGCTTTCTATTTCTAACAAGTGGTCTCGGAGGGCAGGCTGGTTGGATTTAATCACTGCAGACGGCGGGTTACTAAGTACTGTTCAGACTGGGTGCCCAAGTGACATTCTGATCAAACAGGTGTAGTATGAGGCGTCCTCATGGCTAGCAGATATTTGGCTGCTAACCACAAAGTCAGCAGTTTGAAACCCCAGCTGCTCCATGGGAAAAATAAGGCCTTTTCTACTTCTGTACAGTTAGGGTCTCAGAAACCCACCCTGTCCTATAGGGTCGCTGTGAGTCAGCATGGACCGGAGGGCAGTCTCACCCTGTCCTATAGGGTCGCTGTGAGTCGGCATGGGCCGGAGGGCAGTCTCACCCTGTCCTATAGGGTCGCTGTGAGTCG